GAACTGCAGATAACAGTCAGCTGAAGTGGCCTGCAGTACTGCACCCTAACCACTGCGCCACCTCGGCTCTCCTCACATCCCTGAATGATGGACACGTGTCATTCATCATCCTTCCCGCCCCAAAAACGAGGCCATCTCCACCCAAACTGCAAATCTTTTGGTTTATTTATGCATTTATGCATTTCTCAAATGTCTTGCAGTCACCGGAAATGACTCTTGTTCTAAGAAGCTTCCTTGCCTAGTGGTTAGCTAATTGCCACCTTCGGTTCTCTCCTCCGTCGCTTGCAGTAAGCGTGTTTGTGTAAAGCCAGGTTTGGTTCACTTAACAACCACCTTGCTCAGCGATGTAAATTCTGCTCTCCCCCCCTCCCGTGGCGGTCGTAAGTCGAGAACTCCCTGTTCTATAACGGTTCCTCTGCGTGAGGGATGGAAGCCCACTGTGAGCCAAGCCGTTCTCAAGCGACTTACGGTGTCCAAGTTATGGTAAGCGCCGTAGTTAAAATCCCTGCTGCTCCCGGATTCCCGTTGGCGGTTGAGGTGCATCTCGCGAGATTCTTCGTCCAGCAGGGCCTACAAGGAGAACGATGGCAGGATTTGAATGCGGCTACTCTAGAGACAAGGAGGACTGGGACCAGGGGGGAGATGAAAGCAATATTCCAATATTTGAGGGTCTGCCCCCAAAGAAGAGGGGGCTCCAATTAGTTTCCGAAGCACCAGAAGGCGGGAGAAGGAACAACGGATGGAAACTAATCCAGGAGAGAAGCAAGCTGGAATTAAGGAGAAACTTCCTAAAAGTGAGGACAATTCACCAGTGGAACTGCTTGCCACCAGAGGTTGGGGGGGCTCCATTAGTGGAAGATTTCAAGAACAGATTAAGCCACAATTTGTGTGATATGGTTTAAGAATCTTCTGCTTGAGCTGTGGGTTGAACTAGAAGACCTCCAATGTCCTTTCCAGCTCTATTCTGATTGATTGATTGATTGATTACAGAGATCCCGTGTTTCCCCGAAAATAAGACAGGATCTTCTTTTGACCCCCGAAATAAGCGCTTGGCCTTATTTTTGGGGAGGTCTTATTATTTTTGAGGTGCAAGAGGCAGCGAGTGTGGTCACCTCTTGGCTGCTGCTGTGTTACAATATTTTCGGGGAGGGCTTATTTTAGCGCATGCGCTTAAAATCCCCGATTGGGCTTATTATCCGGGGAGGTCTTATTTTCGGGGAAACAGGGGAGTCAGATTTGTTCTCATGTTGTTGGTCACCGATTGTGGGTGAAGTCGTGCAGGCCACACACTCCCCCTCGGTGTGAGGGTGGAAACATTGGTGGGAAGAATGCTGGGTGTATCACCTGGATTATTCACAGCAAAGTTTCTCAATTTTAACAACTTGAAGACGGACAGACTTCAACTCCCAGAATTCCCCGGTCAGTTTTGAGATAGGCGGAGTTACTTCAATTCCCAGAATTCCCTGGCCAGTCGTCCTGACCAGGGAATTCTGGGAGTTGGAGTAACTCCGCCTATCTCAAAACTGACC